ATTTGTTTAACTTCTGTTGCTGTTTTTGGCTTTCTGACAAGATTCTGCTAATCAGTTTCTGTCTTCCTTGTTTGTTCTTTGCAATGTGTGCAAATCTTGCCACCTATGCTCTTTCTCTCATTTTACCTTTGATTATAGAAAAGACTTTGAACAAAGTAATTTATATCAATAGAAAGAAACTGCCAGATACCTTTTGTGCAGGATACAGGTATTTTTATGTTACTCATTGAAATAATGTGAATGGTAGGTATCAAATAAGCATTATCTGTGAGTCTGCAGAAAATGTTTCAGCTGAAGTAGTGTGGCTCCAGACATGGTGCAGTGTTTTAGCAAGACCTGAAATGAGGAAGAGACATGAACAGAAAAAGGGACCAGTCTCTCTGAAATACAGAGCAGAAAGATTCACTGGTAGAAGTGAGCATTGGCGTAGCAGATACACACATCAGAATTACTGCATCCACATGAGGGAAAGGAGAGGAGGAGCTGCACTCTTTGTGTTCCCAGGAGCAGGTAAACCTGCTTTGATCAAGTCCTGAACTAAAACTTCTCCTGGCTGTTCATGTTCATTACTGCATAGATTTTGAACAACAGCCTTCCTAACTGTCTGCTTATTGCCATACGGTAGAAAGGAGCTCATAATTCTCTAGAATTTGGGCATTGTTTCAGTCTTGTTGAGATTTGGTAGTAATCAATTTTCTGTCACCCAATAATTTGCTAACAAATTCTTTATGTGGTCTCCCACTGTTTGGAAAGACTGTATTCTCATTGGACATGTAGTTTCAGAATTTTTTTTTTGCAGGGGCAAAGGTAAAAATTATTTTACCAGAATCACTTGAGAGTTTACTCTGGAGAAACACCAATTACTTTCCTTGCAGTATATGAAAGCTCACATGTTGATTCTGGCTGCAGCATCTTATCAGGGGAGATCAGAAACAGACTAGAAACTTTCAGTTGGACTCAGTACTATTAATAAGTCTATTACTGATAGAAAAAGACATAAAGCTTCTTATGCCCAGTGTAAATGTTAGAGAATTCAAATTAGATGTGTTTAGTTATTAAAGGGTTGAACATTAAAACTTTGCTTTTAAATAATTCAAATAATTTGACTCATGTTGTTCATGTAATATAAAACCACATTATTTAAGCCAATTTTAAAAAGATAATTAGATTTATTTCTGAAAGTAAAAGTTGTTTAACTAAAAGACATTATTTGAAATGGACAAAAGCAGTCTAAATATCAAGATTGATGGAAGTAAAAGTATTAGAAGTTCTGTTGAGTATTGACAAATGAGTTTCAGCTGACAAAAACTTTACTTTTAAAAACTATGTGCCCCATTTTTTATTGGATAGAAACACAGCCCTAGTAGATCTTTTGTAGTGAAATGAACTACAGGAGGATGTCTTGACATCATTTGTTGCCTCAAACCTGGAAATAAATTATGAGGTTTGCAGAAATGAGGTTCTTCAGCACTTGTCTGTTATAATTTAAGGTTTTTCATTGAACTGCAGAGTTGTGCAATGATATATCTGTGTGCATACGTAAACATACAGCAAACTTCATTGGACAGAGGCTTTTGCCTTTAGTGTAAAACCTACCTGTAAAAGGAATCACAATTCACAGTTGGTGTTTATATCCAGTTGTCAGTGGAAGAATAGGTAGGGTTGGACACAGTCTTGAGGACAACTTCAAGATGGTTTGGGAGAATGTCTACTGAAGACAACTTCAAGATAACTTCAGAGACCGTGTACCTCTTTTGATTTTTATGATCTATGACATATCTTTTCAAGGTAGTTCTTGATAACTCCTTTTGGAATAGATAGCAGTCAATTGACAGACTCCAGAGAGATGTCTTTGTGCCTTAATAGTGTAAGGAATTGTTTTCTGCAGAAGATATCCCCACTTGGTCAAGCAACAGATCTCATTCCTTTGCCTGGGAGCTTGTGCTGATGTGCTGAGTGCTCTGTTTGAGGATGTGCCCTGTAGCCTTTGGCAGGTGCCTGCCAGGCTCAGCTCCTGTGCATGGACACTGTTGGACACCCCCAAACCCGGTGTCACCTCTGTGGAGCTCTGATATAAATGGTCGAGTTCTCCCTGGTACCTGGCTTTTCAGAGCTCCTGAACTGCATCGTTCCTTAAGTGCAGCATTGTTCAGGGCTCACAGCAGTTCCCATTCTGTTCTGTGGAGTGGATGTGTCAGTTAAAGAGGGAGGTTATTTAAATAACTAATGCATTTGAGAAATGCAGTCACCATTGAAACAGCAAAAAAAAAAGCAAAAAAGAGATTTTTTTACACCAAGTATGCAAATTTTAATATGAAATCCATAATTATCTTATCAGTATTTGCTTAAAGGCAGAGTTGGCAGAATAATAAAATGTGGCACAGTTTGAAGAGCAGCACAGTCCCATAGCTGCTTGTGTTATGGGCTGTAAACAGGAAACTATAAAACATATTCATGGCATACTAAAATGTTTGGAAACATACTGCAACAGCATAGAGGGAAATGTTTAAACAAGATCTTACCGTAAGATGTTATTAAATAGAAAACTGATGAACAGTACAACAAAAGCTCGATGTGTAAGTTATCAAATCTTTGCCTTTCCTGCTAGAAATAAAAAAAATAGTAGATAAAAAATTATAAATGGTAAATAGATGCTAGTGGGAGTGCCACACTAAAATACAGATTATAAAACAGTTAATAAAACTTCAGATGTTTTTAAGGAATTGCATAGTTCCTCTGTTCAAGTGAGAATTAAAATATAGCAGACATGCATAAGATAGGAAAATTTCTTCATGCAAATAGTATAGTCATCTTAATTCATAATTTAAGAATGCCTATTAAGAGAAGGAGGAGGCAACTGTATACATCAGGGGATATCCTGTGTAACTGTATGCTCAGCTTTATTGCAGCCTCTGATTGAAATACAAGAAATGCTAATTTTTTTCTATAGGTTGTTGTGGTTTGAAATTTATATACTATGTACAAAAGTATGTGGACATAATAGTAATACCATATCTGTTCTGAATGAAGGAGCAAAAAACACGATGCTGAGCTGGACTGTGCTAACAGTAGTGTTAGTTCAGCTACACAGAGAGGTAATATGGAAATAAACCTCATAAATCCCATTGTGTAGAAGAGGGAGAAGGTACTCATTTATTTCTTCCCCAAATCAATTCATAGTAACAACCCAATAATTATTAAAATACCCATTATTATAAGTCCAAAATGAGAGTAATTGCAGAAGTGTAGTGTAAAGCTAAGAAAGGAGATGTTAATGTGCAAGGAAGAGTTTAAATAGGGAATTATGATATCCTTGGCTTTCTGCTGTGTAGCTGTCAGGCTGGGGCAGCTCGCTGGTCAATAGTGACATTCTGTGTGTCAGTGAGCAGGGTCTCCTGATACCTTAACCTGCAGTTCACACATTACTGAAGCTCCAACTGTCGAACATTCAAGTCCCTTGGTACCCCTGCAGCTTCCAGACTCTCCTGACTGGCTCATGTTTCATTCTTTGGCAATTTGCCCTAATGATATCCCTCAGGAGCTTTCAGACCCTCTTCTTTTCCATATTTAATCGTGTTATATTAATCTGAGCGCTGAGCAAACTAGGCTGCACAAATTGTAATTGTCTGTGATTTCTGCTGCAATGGTCTTATAACTGCTTTTTAAAATTATTAGTGTAAAAATATGTGTACAAAATTGTGATGTAATTTTTTATTTACAAATCTAAATGTCCAAGACAACCAGGATGTGAACACTTTAACTGCTGATCTGTTCCACAAAGAGGGTTGGTTTTTTTCCCTGTAAAATCCATAATGCTTTAGCACTTGCTGTATGGGCAGGATTTACATTTTATTTTTTGCTCTTTGTTTTGTTACTGTGAAAGTTCATGTCTATCTAATAAACAGTGTTATTATCAAGTTAAACTCAGGTAGTAATTTTGTTGTGATATAAAACATTAGGACAGCCTCTTCTTTTCCATTAGCTTGGTAACTTCTATACGGGGCATGCTCTTAAAGTGTTTTTTCTCCTTTTTCTATGAGGTTTGTAGTGCTACATGGGATGGATATAGGCTGCCATGTTGTGAACAGTCTGGATTTTTTCTCATTCTGTTGTAACTCTGTGCCTGCATATTAAAATAACAAAATTTGAGAGACTCCCTTATAGCAAAGATAGATCAAATTGGAATTCTTTACATATTGCAAGATTATTTTGTTCACTTGTGGAATGAACTTGGCCCCATTTCTAATGAATTCCATACTTCTTTGTTTTGGGGGTAAAGTGGTGGTTGTGGTGTTTTTTTGTTTGTTTTAGAAAACCAGAGATGTCTGTTTGGAGTGATAAGCAGTTTGTAGCACCTCCTTTTTTGGTCAAGGAGTTGATTTTCCATGATCCTTGTGCCAGGTTTGGAAGTCTCTGCTTTGGGAAGGGAATTTTGGAAAATTGTAATTAAGATGCATTTTTGTTACAGGAATATTCACTTCAGATTTTTTTTTATAAGATAGTTTGGAAATCAAGGTAGTGACCCAAACAGGAGTTAATCCTGCTTCTGAATTTTGTGCAGTTCTGTGGTTTCATGCAGCTTCAGATCAATTCCAGTTAAAATAGCAGAAATGGGGGCTAGAAAACTCTCCTGAGTCTTTCCCACTCAGTGGAGCCAAGTGAAACAGGGGTGCACTTCAGTCCTGTGTGCTCATGGCAGTGCTCATGTTTGACCATGACTGCATCAAGCAATTCATGATTATTTCCCTTTTTCTAAGGGAATAGCTGAGCAGGGAGGGCTGACTTGTTAGCCTGCATTCTTGCAGGTGTTGTGCTTGTATACATACATCAGAGTTTTTTGTCGATGTGTTTTTGCAATTCAGAGTAATTTACAAAATTATTAAGAGGTGGTTTGGGGAGGTTAAGATTTTTGCATGTCTAAAGTTAATTTAAGATGTTGTATTTTCTTTTTATTCATGGTTTTTTTGTTGCCAATTCTGTGTGTATATTTTTATTTTTAGTTAACTGCTTGTGTTCATGCGTCAGCTGCATTGTTATATCCAATGTATTGGCAACATATTTACATCCCAGTGCTTCCTCCACATCTTCTGGACTACTGTTGGTAAGACAGCTAACCTGTTCTCTCCATTTCTGAGATTCTGACCTGTCTTAGAATTCTGAGTAACTGATGAAAACACTGACTCTTTATTATGACTAAGCAAACAGGTTCCAGTTTATGAAAGCACTTAGGCCAGTGCTTAAATGATAACTTGACTAGGGATATTCCATCATGCCTTGATGTTTGAATTGGTATCTTGAATTACAGTGCTGATTCCTATTAGTAGCATGTTTGTAAGAACTGGTTCTGTTTTGTTGGTAAGAGAATTCATTCAGTAATTTAAATGCAAGCATGTTACAGTTTTCTTTTATTTGGCTTTTAGTTTAGGTTGAAATACATTATACTTCTAGAAGCATTCAAAAAAACCCTGATCATTTTTTCCAGAATCAGATGTTAGTATTCATCAGTGATTTAGTATTTGTATTTTAACTCAGCCAGGCTCAGGATTCTAGCCAACCCCTTCCCAAAAGAGCTTAAAAACTCCTTTTGGGACTCCAAAATTTTTATTACAAGAATTCTGCTTTTCCTGATGAGTTTCTGTTCACATGACTGATTTTGTGGTTTTGGCATATTTTTAATTTGAACAAGAATCACTTTTTGATTCACTTCTGATCCTTCTAGGGGATGATGTTTCCACATGCCTGTATTTCACAATTTGTTGCTTTTATTCAGAATAGTGGCAGAGATAACAAATGAGAGTTTCCATTTTCCCTTTAAGCAGGAATATCCATCCCTGGAGATTTTCACTTTACCTAGACCCTCTGGGTCTGTTATGGGAAAATGAACCATTTCAAGCTGTTCTAGAGATTAGGAATTATTATTATTATGTATAAAACCTGAGACACAGCCAGATATTACCTAAACAGAGCTAAGTCTGTGTTTTCTTCATAGAAATAAATTATGCTTATGTGTTTGCTGGGCTTTATGTTGTTGATTTTGGTTTGAGTTTTTCCCCCTCAAACCTACGAATGCATTGCTGTTCTACTGAACTCCATCTAGTCTAATGAACTTCTGTTTTCAAACAAATCCTCACTGTTTTTCCTTAAGTGCCTTTGGTAGTTTTTCCTGAAGTTCACAATATTTGTCCATGGTATGTATTTTTTTTGTGGTAGTTCTTACAATTCATGTATATATTTGTTGTTTTAAAAAAGAGAGTAAATGTTTTTCTCCAACTCCTCCTTTTACTTACAAGTACAGCTAAGCCTTTCATGTTTAATGATAGTTTTCTTTTGAAGAAACTCTGTTCTAATTGTTTCTCCTCCTGCCTTTGATAAAATATACCAGGATGGGGTAGAACTTGGGTGTATTTAGTTTTTGTATTACTTGAGCTTATGGCCAGAACCTTTGTGATTTTTCAGATCATCCAAAAATGCTGTTCTCAGAAGGCAGATCAACACTTTTATGCAAGCTGTACCCTGTAGAGTGCATCCTGAATATAAGAAGATTTTTTTTTATTTCCCCTTCTAAGCCCACATAATGTTTCCAGAAATAACAATATGAGATGCTGTACACATCTCCATGTGATGATGATAATAGTTGGGATTCTAGGTCACAGTGGTATGACCTGAGAAATTTTTTTACTCATTAAAAAGAAGCATGGAGTTTCTTAAACTTGTAAAATTTGTTTATATACTGTATTCTTTTTCACAGTAGTATGGTAGGGTGGAGTAAAAAGTTCCCCTGTTTTAGAGATGTTCAAAAGGAAACATAAAGTTCATGAAAAGAAATGCACAGCTGATGAATTTATCACAGTAATTCAGACCTTTTTACTCAGATTTTTGTACATTTACATTTCTCTTTCTGTTCATCTGAATGGTTCTTTTGTGAGACAGGTTGGAAAAGTGTAATAAAAACACACCAATGACTTAGCTTTCCTCATGTTCTGATGTATTAACAGTAAATAAATGTTCTCCTCATAGGTATATAATATAGCAAGTTAAAGAACCTTGATGAATTCTTAAGGTCAAAGTTTGTAGTAGGCCTGACCGAGTTTGCAGTCCAACAGGATCACGCCAATTGAAAATTAATAAAAGTATGCAAAAGTTATTTTGCATACTTCTCCTTTTTATGTCATTTTTATAAGCAAATTTCATTTTATATAAGTGCCATTTTAGCTCAATGTGCCTAGAAATTTCATTGTCACTGTTTCACTTGGACTTCTTGGAATGTCTCCCATGAAATCTCATTTTCTTAGTGTTGTCCTGAAATGGCATTCAAATATATGAAGTAGGGGAATATCAGTTGAATAATTTGTTCATTCTGTGGAAGTAAGGCTTTTTGTAAACAAAGATCAAATTCATTTAAATCTATTAATTTAAAGATATGCCTCATTCTGTAACCTTTTTTTTTGCACATTAATCATATAGCATATTTTGAGAGAAGGCCCTTTTTTTTTTATTAGTTGGACTAAGAATCTTCATAATATTATCATGATAAAATATGCAATTCTGTGGGGTTAGACTTTGATAAATTACATTAAGTGCCTAACTGGTACATTTTGTAAGCAGGAAAAAAGAAAAATGTGTCTTTGAGGAAAACAAGGCTATATTAAAATTATTTCCATTTTTTCACTTGCCTTTTTAATTAAAATCTATTAATTTCTATCCTGCTGCCTGATTACCAGGCTGGATTTAGAGCTAATGTAACAGATGATGCTGGAGTAGCCCAAAGCAGAGGGTGAGTGTGGACTGCACCACCCTGAGGAGTGGCAGGCTGAGAGTGCCAGACTCTGGGCCAGAGCAGAGTCTGTGTTCATGGCTTCAGGAGGGGCTTGGTACCCCCATGAGCTTAGCTTGGCCTGGACTGCCATTATGGGAGCTCCACTGTGAGAATTGGAGTGACCATCCAAAAAAGGAGATGTCAGAAATTTATTTTTCTAGAAGATAGCACAATATAGGCTGAGAAAGTTATATTCATTGTAGGTGCAGAAAAAAATCCACTGTGCAGTTCATAAAAAATTGAGTTTTATATTATGTTGTAAAAAATTGATTTCTCTTCTACATTTAAGTAAGTAATAGGAGACTCTTGCACTCAGTGGAGTGGGTGGCTGGCTTTCAAGAAAACTGTTACAAAAATTAAGTTTGAACATTGATACAGTAATTATATTTGAATAAAATTATTTTTTGTGAAGAAGAAAGCTAATTTAATGAAATTTCTGTCTAATATCTTGGCAAACTGAATCACCAAGATTAGAATATATGCCAGTTTTGTCTGTGGATGATAAAGCATCTGTTATACTGGTGCTCTGTTGAGAATGTAATGCAATCAGAAAATTCAAGTTACAATTGCAATAGGTCTTTATGAGATTTCGTCTCTTCTGAATTAGGATATACATACGTCTGTTTTCGTGAGAATGGGGCAATTATTTTCCAATTAACTTGGATGTTTTGCATAACATAGTAATTATTTTGGGCAGTGATACCACTGATTGATATTTTTGGTGGTGACATGCATAAGCAAGAGAAAACCCTGTAGCAGCTCCCAGTAGTATCATAGTAAGCAATTTCATGTGCTATTCCAGTCCTCTGCTGTTAAGGCTTCAGAATCCAGCAGTAATAAAATTACCTTTTGCTGAAAACGATTAAATTGACTTTCCATGCCTGCAGTTTTTATTTCATCCATTTTCAAGATGTGCTTTGTAACTTTATTCTGTTAACTTCAAAATTGAAATGGTGTAGTGTTGCTTTGTTCTGTAGAGAAAAGAGCTGCATGCTTCCCTTTTTAATGGCAGATTTATTAATGGAGCAAATCATCAGCTACCTTAAGTCAGCACAGGCGTGGTGAAGCTACTGGCACAGTGTTGATGTATGAGAAAACAAGTGTGTATAAAATCCATACATGACATAGCACTTGTTTTCACTGTAGTTTTACCTGTTCACATTATTTGTACCACTGAGATATTCTGATATGAGGAACCTGAGGATCTGTTTTGCTGCATATTCTGCAGCAGAATTCTCAGTAACATGTCAGCCTTAATAATTCTTAGTGGCTTGGTTAAATATGTTACATAGTACAAAGCATTCTTTAATCTATAGAGTGGTTTAAAGCTGTTTAAATCCTCTCTGAAAATATATGGGTGTCTGCTCTGGAGTGACACTCGTTTACAACTCCGTGTAATTTGTGTTTAGTTCACAAAGACAAGGATTAGCCTGGATGAAGTCATCAGGAAGTGCTAAATTTTGTCAGTATTGGGCTAAGAAAAAGATGTGTGGAAAAACAGAGGCCTCTTTTCCTTTTTGGAAGCCCCATTGCCTAGAAACCTTAAGCCATGACAGTTTGCAGTTTCAGCAAACCTATATTTTGATATCATAGACGCCATGAAATCTTGTTTGGGCCTCAGTCAGTCTGAGTTTTTGGTTTTGTTTGTTGGTTTTTGTTTGCTTTTTTTTTTTTTTTTGCATTGATCCTCTCCTGTGGGACATTGTTAATGAGAGCAATTGGGTAATCCATAGAGTGTACAGATTTTTCTAAAATGGGCTGTAGTTGTAGGCAGGTGAGAATTGCTTTTTCTTGTCCCAGAAGTGTGGGACCAAATGGACGAGACTGCATGAATTGATGCAGTGAAGCCTTGCCCCATCCTTGGGAAGTCAATCACCAATCAATGAGTGCCACTGGCTCAGATCTGTGATCAGATCATTGCCATGAGAGAAGTTACTGTGAGCTGTGTACCCTTATATGTTATCTTGCCTTCCATTATTTTTCAGGGATTATTTTTATTTAGTTTTTTTTTTTCTCTGTGGTCTGTTAGTGACTCATTTTCCATGAGTTGCCTAAACTAGCCTGTCAATTGTTCACTGCTCTGAGAGTGAATATTGTCAGTAATCTCACAGTACCCAAAAGTCTCATGGTGATTGTTGAGGTTTTTTCCTTCAGTGCTGGACACTGAGTATATTCTTAGTCAGATGTTGCCAGAACAGAAGATTGTAGGAAACCATGATAAATAAGCCTAATTCAGTTTCTTGCTTGCATGCTGCAGGAGGTCTTACTGCAGCAGCTTTGTGTGGATATTTGTTCTGTTTGGAGAATATAGTTCCTTGTCTTATGAGAATTGGAAGGAGATTATCTTGAGTTAAATAGGATATTATACAGCTTCCAAAGGCTTGCCAGGGGAGGGTTCAAAACCAAAACTGGTGGTAATGATGTTTGTGTTGCACTCTGGTGATGGTGAGCAGGACCATGTCCTCCAGCTGGTGTTTTAAAACCAGCCCAATTTGGGAACATTGGCTGGGTTAGCTCAGTGTGGTCAGTTACTGGAACTGGGTCTGGAGGAAAAGCTGTGGTGCCTCCTTGCTCATGCCTCATAGTTTGCAGCAGCATCCTTTGTTTTGTTGTCATCTTTACTGCAGAGTAAACCAAAATTTTCCTTGTCTAGTAAACATTCCTGTAGCAACTGTGTTCATTTAATACTGTCTTAAACAGTGACTGTCTACTAGGGTCTTATGTACCAAGATTTAAAATGCTCCATTAGTGTTGTAGTTAAAACTTGATGTTTTCCACTCCTTTCCTTCAGTGCACCGATGCCTTATCTAATTGGCGTCCACTTAAGCTTGATAGAGGTAAGTTTACTGTCCTCTTCAGTGTACTGGGAAGCATGAGGTGTGTGTGCCATAAAAAAATTGTAATGGAAATGTTTGAGAAAAAATCCCTCTATTTTAGCATGCAGAATTACAAAATTTAAGCTTCATATGCTATACTAAGTAAAAAATATCACTCATTGAAATCTTAATTTTGAAGTATTTTATGAAGACATGTAGCTCTACATCATGATTTTCTCTGTCTTATTAATAGCTCAGTGGGAGCTATTTTCCTGCCTTTTAGCACTTTAGCAACAGATCTCCCCAATAATGAGGAAAAATTTATTTTTCAGGAACAGGTAAAATTTATTTTGGGGTCACTGTCACTCAGATTTCAGAGTTACTGTGATTTCCCAGATAATTTATGTTCTTGTCCCTCTGAAAACTTGAATCTAACCTACATCCCATTACATTTCTAACTATTAATTTAGAAATTAGTATTTTTTGCCAAAAAACAAGAGGTGGCTTTTACAGATTTGAATGTAAAGCAACACAGTAGAACTCAGCTGACTGGTACATTATAGCTGGGTAAGAAATAGTTTTGCCTTTTTCCATAACCATTTGATTATGCTGTGGAGCCTACATGTGCCATCTGATTATCATGCAGAGTAGATAATTGATTTGGAAACATTATTTGATTTGCACTTCTGCTAAAGCAGTTTCTAAGGATCAATTCACATCTGCTAAGGTGATGGGGTGGGGTCTTCTCTGAGCCACCAGCACTTTTGTTTTTCCAAAAAAGGCCTTCTATATCATCTACACTTCTCAACTCCAGGCACAGCCTTCTGTGCTCCCAAATCATTATGACCTGCATGCATCAGTTGTAATATCTTGATTAGGATGCTTTTTCTTATTCAATAAGGAAATAATGGAACTGAAAGATCTGCCCTTAAAAAAAGATGTCAGTTCCTTCAGGAATTATTTCGTGCACTGCATTATTATGTATTATTGTAGGGCCATATAGAAAAGAGTTCTATCCCTTTTCCCTGAAAGGAACAAATTATTTAATTCTTAGCTGCTAGCCAAGCACTGATGAAAAAGCATTTTATCCATTCTTCTGTGGTAATAGTAGGCATCACATGCTTGGTACTTACATAAATCTGCAAATAATTGTACTTTTTTTCTGGTTTTCATCTGCTTATATGATTAATATCCTATCTGATTTTCTCAAAAATGAGAGAATGAAATGTTGTTACAGTATATATGTAGTTCCAATATATATTTATCCAATATATTCAACTGCATTCTGTATAAATTCCTCTCAGAGATTATTAATATAACCTTAGTGTTTGAAAAATAGGAAGTATTTTTAAAAGCTACTTTGAATGCTGTATCTAATTCCCAAATTCTACATCTAAAGCTCCAACTGTTTTTTGCCATTACTGTCCTTTGTATAAAATCATCATTTGTAATTTAGCACAGTATAAGGAAAATGTACTTCAGGAGGACGCCATAGTAAATTGTTTTTCCAGTATTTTTTTTTTCTTCCTAACAGAGAGTAAAAAATAGATCACTGGAGGATGTGGTTTTGCTAAATGTTGACACAAACACTCTAGAAACTCCTTTTAATGACCTGAACAACCTACCTGGTGAAGTGGTGAGTCTTAGACATTTCATTCTTTCTTATATAGGTGCTTGAATTACTCATAATTATTTTTGCCTTATTTTGCTAACTGCTGTAACCACCTAGTGCGGACCCCTACATTTGAGATTTTTACCTTTTTGACAGCTGAGGAGACGTTGAATGGAACATCATATTCCTTATTGTAAAAGTAGGATCATAATTACAAAGCTAGCTGCATTCATTAGGCAGAGCTGCTTTAAACGCAAGAGTCTCTTCATCTCATCTTAATCATTATATTACAAAGTAGGCATTTCTGTCTGCCTAGTGGCATGTCTTGCAAAAGAACCAGAGAGTTTTTGAAGGCAAAAAGAAGAAGGGGGCCAATTATCGGCTTCTGCTTCCCTGCCACCTGCCAGCGCTTTCCTTTTAATTAATGATCTGATGGCACTGGTCAATATAATAAGAAATGCTTGTACAGTTGGGGTCAGAAAATTCAGGCTTTGATCTTCTTCAACTTTGTGAAACATTTATTTGTTTTCTCTAAATTATTTCAGTTTTATTTTAATCTCTTCTATCCTGCTGAGGGCTGCGTGAATGAAAACCTATACTGTTTGTCATTTGCTTTGGCAGAGCAAAGACTGCTTACTTAGAATTCTATTTGTAAATTAAACTGCAAACCCAGTTTGTCATAAAAGACATCTGATCCTTTTGAAATGACGAAAGCTGTCTTTTGTCTGTAAAGGATGATAAATTAAGTGCCAGTTCTTTCTGGACTTTGATCTTGTAGAGGGTGCCCCCCCGCTTTTTTTTGCCTTTTTTTTTTCTTTTTTTATTGCCTATAGGAGAACATACTCTGTATATCATTTTAAACAGTCACAAAATTCACTTATCTTGTTTTTCCCAGTAGAGCTCTAAAAGAATATAATTGTGAAACCACTGTTTTCATTATTCAATTAAAGATGCACAAGCTGTCACAAATAGTTGTCAAGACAAGGAATTTTATATCAAAATATGAAATCAAAGAGTTACATTTTCTGAAATTGTAAATCATAAAATACCCCTGTCATAATCAAAGTAAGATCCTATTGTGGCATACTGTGTCTTTTGTAACTGTTGATAATTTGTATATATTTAGTACAATGGAAGTCAAACTCTTGATGATAGCATTTGTGACACTGCCCTTTGATTTTAATCATCTAAAAATAAGTCTAAACATTTTTATAGATCATCTGGTCAGTCTTTGGACTCTATATCAACTGTAGTTCAGAGATGTAAAAGACTATAAAATTAGTATGATGTTCTGTGGTTTACATTAGCGTATTTATTATTAAATTGGTATATTTTTGTGATATTTTGTGATTTACATATGCATGGATACAAGCACAAACATAAATACAGTAACTTTGACTGTACTCTGTCATTTGAGAGTATAACAAGTAAAGAAAGAGCCATTTCCTGGTGTGTCAGGAGCTTTAACTGGACTTCCACTGAGTGAACAGGGTTGATGTTATAATGTCATGAAGGCCTGCATGCTAAATAATAGCTGGATGTGGAATTGAGAATTAGGCATCATATTCCATGACATACTGGAGTTACAGCTGGAGGTCCTTTGAACAGCCAAAATGGATCTTTGTGCAATAAGAGGCACTTGTCATGTGTTTTACAGGTGCATATAAAAATGATCTCTAAATAAGCAGGCTAGCATAAAGGAAATAGGGATACAGATCTGACTGCTTCTAGAAGTGTATTTTCTCCCAGAATATATGCATGTTATTACTGCAAATCTTAATTTAGGTTATCCAAGTGTACAGTCTAGACTTACAACATTTTTTACATATCTAATATAAAGCAAAAAAAGCCAATGTTCTATGCAAAATACACTTGCAGAACTTGAGGATTTTATACTGAAGTTTTTAATTTGAATAGTCCCATCTTTTACTTCACTTCAATCCGTAAGGCACTTTAAACATTTTGATGGAATGTATATACAATTACAATTGGAAAACCTGGAAACAAAAGGCACAGGGCTGTGTTTGGTTCATAAGGTGACAAAATGCTTGTTCTCCTTTTGCATTCATGAGGGGCAGTACAGCTGCTGACATCTTGGGGAAAAGTGTAAGACACAGGAGTGTAGAGTCAAAATGGTAAGTCAGGCTTCAAACATTAAAGGGAACGTCAGAGATACATGTGTGAAACATTTTAACTTATATAGAAAAACCTCATAAGCGTACATACAAAAGTAGTAAAACTTCTGATGAAAAAATATAATGAGTACCTCTGAAAGGCATTAAAACAGAATGAAGAACTGAAAATATAAAAGAAGTTGTAGTCTTACTGTCCCTTTCAAAAATTGATTCCAGGTTGGTTAACAGCCTAACAAAAGAAATGCAATATTTTCCAAGTTTTTAAAAATTGTTTCTTGTGTCCAGAGGGAACAGAGTAATTATTTTCTTGATCAATAAGCCTGATGATGTCCTCACAGCATAGGTGTTTAATGGCTTACCCTTGTACACACGCTCTGATCGTGAATTTTTTCAGGATAAATTTAAGATTGAAAGAAACATTATTCTATGGCATTGTCTAATAAACTGTATAATAAATTAACTGAGATTTAAAGGCATTTTTAAATCATTCACTTAAGCATTTAAATTATAGGTACAGGCTAGATGAGTTTCCATGCATGTGAACTCTATTATTCTGTCAGACTGACCAGTGGTCTTGACTGTTCAAAGGTCAGTGGTCACAGTTGTCCTGAATTACCAGTCCTTTTTTCATGGGGACCCTCTGCTGCGTTGCATGCTGTAATCTTCTTAATGGCTTCATTCCAATATTCACACATAATATTTTAGATTTATTGACTGTTAGAAATACTACCATGCCAGTAGCAGTTCCGCTACTCCTAAGGTATTTAAAATTGGGAGAATAAATCAGGGCAAGACTTTCAGGAATCCTTTGTTTTCTTGGAAGGGGGAAAGCCCCTCTTTTTTCACTCTTCTGACAAGAAAGCTTGTTTTTAAATTTCATCATTTCACTGTGAATTTGTCTATTATTTTTTAATTAAAAAAAAAAGAAAAAAGAAAAGGAGCTACTTCTGTGGGAGTAAATTTCCTAATATAATAATACTGAGATCACCATTTTAATAATATAAGGCATTAGAAGAACACATGTGACCATAGACTGAAATTTATAAATTTTGGGCCTGACCCTGCAATACCTGCTTGCACTTAACTCTGACATAAAGACTTCTCCTTTGCTCAGATGTGAACACTTTCCCAAACAGCTTCCAGAATTGACAGCATCACCTCTAGCAACCAAGTCGTAATGACTTGAAATCATAGACTGAGCAGAACTTTTATAAATATGATCTTCAGAAGACAACAGACTTTATAGTTTTTTAGCTTCTTCTGTGCTGGTTAAATATTGTCACTGCAAAAGCTACAGAGCTGTTAAAAGATGTGTAGTGTTTGTACTGCCTGGTACCCACACACTGTGATGCAGTACAGGATGTAAACTGGACTTCAGAGATGTAGTTTTGAGATTCCTAAATTTAGAGGATTTGAACACCATAAATTTGGCATATGAACATTACTGTTCTAAAAGTAGCATTTGAGAATTAGGCTGTAATTCATGCAAAAAATTGGTTACTTTATGCAGTGATTATTGGGAGTACAAATTATTTTGTAAAATATGATGATTAATGGTATTATAAAGAAATTAAAGTCAATGTATAACAGTGCAATTAAAAAGATTTTTTTGCAAAATATAAATAGCATAATTTATGATGTTTTTTTCCCATTAGAAAGTATACAAAAATATATTTAGAAACTCAGCAGTCAGCAGTGCTTGCAGTGTTATGAAATGACTATTTATTGTGAACTTAGAGTTGAGATTCTGTTGAACCTTGATATAGTTTTAGAAGCTAGCATATGAGATTAAAAAGTACAGCTAGTTTTGAAAACATTTGCATTTAAGTAGCTGTTTCTGTCTAAATGAGGAAATTTTTAGTTAATGCTGGAAGTCTCCCTGAGATGCCTAATCCTCTGTGTATAGATAATATTCAAATACACAGAAGCCGTTTACTAGAAATGGTGATTTAAATATCACACTCTGGTTTGTTTTGAGGTTTTTGTTTTGTTCCTTTTCTCTGTAATCTTCTTGTACTTTCTTGTTTGTGAGAGTGACCTTCTACTTACTTTTGTAGTGGTATCATCTGATGGAGAACAGCAAAAAGTAGTTCAAAACATAAAAAGTGTTGCTAATACCAGAGAAATAACTGGATATATTTTTTCAGAGATCTAATAGTCCTTCAAAACTCCAGTGTATGATTCTATATTTCTCAGATAACAAACAAATACAAACAGCATTCTTCTATATGTGTTTAAATTTATATATAATTCTTCTATTCACATGGAAGAGTATTAGTCATGTTTTCTGTCTATCAGATATTTAGATTTTAGGAGACCTAGAAAGGATGTATGGGTAACCATTTAAATAATTTATACTTTTTGCTTCAATGACCAGCACACTGTGTTTCTGCATTTTAGACACACTTAATTACACATCAGTCTCATCTGTATCTTTGAAAAACTATTGTATTGATTTAGACCTTCCTAAAGTTCTGATTGCTCTTCACTGGCAGTGTTTAGCTGTCCAATGAAGTCACCTTCCTATGAGAAGCTGTTGCTAGGAGAAGATAAAAACAGTTTGCTTCTAGTGTAAATTAATAATACAGTTTCTGCAGTGGATCACTGGTGTCTTTCAGAAGTAAATTTTAACAGCATTCTAACCCCTGCAGATTGTTTCTTGCATTTCTTTATTTTTAAACTTCATAAAAGTCTATTTCTGCAAGAGAGATACAAAAGAAAAAAGGTTTAGTGTTCTTAATCATAGTTAGGTGAATGGGTTAAAATATAAAATATGAAATATAAATGAGGAAGAGATTTTGATACAGATGCTGCTTGCTGTTTTTTTGGTTGGTGTCAGAATTGTGTAATTTTAAAATAATTTCAAGTGCTGTTAGTGGTGTCACCCAAAGGGGTCTCACATTTCCTTGGTTTGAGGTGCATGGATGTAAGCAATCACAATCCTGCTGTGTGCCAGGTCCTTCCCAGGAGATCAGTGCACCCTGTCTCTTACCTGTGCCTGCTATCCTGGCTGTAATAACTGCGTTGTCACTCTGGCTTTGATTCACATGCGGAACTGGGAGAATTTGCCATCAGCCTACCCAAGTGTGGCTGGGCTGAGCCCTGACTAAGCACTGTCCTGTTCTTGTGTGTTCGCTGGCCTCAGCTTGGAGGACGCCATGGCAGGTCCCAGGGGCACTTTGGGATCCCCAGCCAGAGTCCTGCAGGGGACAGCAGGCACGTCAGGGCTGTGCTCACACACAGCTGTGGCTCCCATGGTCTCTGCAGGCTTCTTCTTGAGAGCACCCTGCTCCTGGTTCTTCTGCAGATAAATCTGATGGAGCTCTTCTCGCCTTTAAGCATTGCCCCCTGAGAGAAGCAGGAGTTGGAGGAGCTTTCTTTGAACTCTGGCATTGTCTTTCTGAGGCTCAAGCTCTCTCCAGGACAGCACACAAAGATGTGTGTCTGTCTAGAGTGCCTCTCAGCCCATTGGAGAGTCTTAATATTGCTGCGCTAATAACACGCCAGCAGAGCAGGAGATTGGTTGTTTTCTGCTGTTCTTTTTAGCACATTTTTTGCCTAAAGCATCCTGTTAATCAAATTTACAGTAGGGTGCTTAGGGTATGCCTGAACTGAGAAAATTAGAAAATACCTTTTCCATTTATGTTCCTCATTTGGTCGTGTAATCCCTCTGCTCTGCATTATCTTTACCCTCCCTCTTCTCTTAACCTGTCCTATCATCTGCCATAATTTCCCCTAATCATAAGGTACAATTTAGAAGAATGTAGATTTAAAGGAGTCTAGAGATTTTTTTTGCATTTTACCTCCCTTACATTGAGAAGATGCTTTGCCTGTCTTGACAGAGACAAAATTTTAACAGTGACAGTTCTTGTTGAATTAATGTTATTGCTTTTATTTTAGTCAAATTGTGCTACTGTCTATATGCAGGTCTTCCTTGTATGCATTTATTTTCCCCACAATGAAATCGTATATTTTACAACTTTAAAATAATTGTACAATACAGAACAAAAGAAAAAAATCAAACCACAAAACCAAGACATGCATTTATTTTTTCAACCTTGAACTTCTTAACCTGTTTTTGTACTTGGACTTGTACTTTTTTTTTTCCTTTTGAGGTGTAAGGCAAGAACATAAATGAGCCTTGGTGTGTGCTTTCCATGGGCTAAACGAATCAGGCTCAAAACTTTTATCTAGATCTGTGGAGCTTGGATATAAATTGAAAAGATCACAGCTATGGGGAAAAGACCTATACTGTAAAGGCCTTTCTGCATAGATTATGAACATCATAACTCAATAATTTTTTTTTCCAAACTATAGTTATAATTGGACCCAATGGGGGTCTCTCTCTTTGATCAGATCACAGTAACTGTGACTTTACACTGGAAAATGTCACTACTGTGAAGGTTTATCACCTGTAGAGCTGGTCTTTTCTCTGATGCCATGTTCAGTTCTCATTAGCATTATTCAAAGTTTAGTTGTTAATTAGGTTGACACTTCAATTACAATCATCATCTACAAGAGCAGTCAGGACTGCTTGCATAAAGAAACAAAAAGATACTCATTCTTGCATATATTTCCAAAAGAATGAAAGCTGTTTTGGTGATAAGTTTGCATTTATAATATTCCTATTAAATAGTAACTCAGAATGTTACTTCATTTAGAGACTTAAATAATGCCCTGTTGTGGAACATTGCAATACAAAGGGATGTAGAAATGTGTATTCTATGTAAGTAAAGTTGACTTATTTTCCAGGTGTCCCTTGTGATGGAAATTAGGAGAGTACACGCTATATGTGGGTATAATTCCACATATCTTGTAATAATTCCAGAATTATATGATTTTCCTCCAAAATATGTTGAAAGTAGCACTTACTTAAATTAAAAATTCCCCCCATTTCTTTTTTTCTTTTTCTCTAATTCTGTCTAACCAGTGGTTGTTATTTGCCAAGTAAAAAACACAAACCTCCTTTAAAAAGTCAAGCACTGTAATCAGAATAGTCTTTTTTTCTTCTAAACTGCAGGCACTTCCTAATTGCTGGGGATTTTTTTCCTTCCCTTTCACATTTGTCTTCAAGGACAATTCTGTAGGCCTTGTTACACTGAATTTACAAAAAACTTTTCTCAGCTATTTGACTGTTTTAGCAGGTACTCCCATGTTGCATGAGAAATGATATAAGATAGGAATTTGACCTAAAATGAGAGATGCTCCTTGGCACTGACTAGTAAGTGACCATTAAAAGTCTTTAAAAATAAACATTCATAGCTTAAATAAAACCAATCCAACTGTCTACAAGCAAGCAAATACATATTATGCTGGAACAAAAATCTGCAATAAAGTGACTCACATGCATTTTACTGTAAAATAATTAAGCTTATTTATGTCAAGAGGCCTTGGGAAAAAAAAGAGAGCATAAACCAATCTGCATTAGCACTCTACCATCATCCCCTGCCTTCATTTCAATTAACAGGCCAGCAGGTGCTCCTTGCAGTTAAAAAGATAAGCTATCAAGGAGGAGGATGAATTTTTGGCTGACCTATAGACACTATGGTTTGCCTGCTGATTGGGTTCATACCTCGCTGTACCAATTTCTGAGGTGTTAATTTAACTGTTCCACTCTGTCACGCAGGTCTCGGCCTTGAAAAATAAACTGAAAAAGCAGTCGACAGCCACGGGCGACGGAGTGGCCAAGGCCTTCCTTCGGGCACAGGCAGCGCTCTTCGGATCCTACAGAGATGCACTGAGATACAAACCAGTAAGATGGCTGCCCTGTCGCTTTTTTCCTTGAATTTATAAGAGCAGGGTCTCAGTCTTTCAAGCAAAATGTGAAATGTTTTATGCCGGTCTGGAATAGTCTATTTTAAATCTTACTCTGTGCTAAGGAATTGGAAGATACCACCATCTCTCAACAGTGAATTGAGCTGAAAAATACTCGTCCAAAGTCAGCTATTTTCCTGTTTGTATCAATTTTGTTATTTGTTAAGTATAAAATCAGATTTTATTAGTGAAGCTGCTCACACACAGCTCACCTAGTTTAGTGTGGTGAAGAACTGAAGGGGCTGTGCCTTTCAGACTCCAGCCTTTTTCCAGAGGTTTTGTTGTGTTAGATGGCAGAAGCTTCTTTCCTAGCAGAAGCCAGATATGAGTCAAACATGCATCTCTGCTATTATACACTGACCTTGATTATGCTTGGAAGATAGGAGAAATGAAAACCCATTTCATCTCATCAGAATCTCAGAATTTTTATTTTTCACATTTTGCTGGTATTCAGTTGATTAATGTTTTATGAGCTTTCATAATTTCTAAATAATGAGGTGACACTCGTTCTTTAGAAATTATGAAAGCTCATAAAACAATATGAGTTGAAGATAAAGTAAGTTATCAGAAAAAATTTAGAGATGAATTTCATCCATCAGTCCAGACTATTTTTCTTGGAAACTACTGGTAGTGGTTGCTTTGATCAAATGCACTGAGATGACATTGAGTGAATCAAATTCTGAGGATTGGATGTTTGGTTGTCTGATGGATTTAGATAAATTCAGATTTGACAGGAGAAAATCATCCTCACTTGAGGAATCAAGTTAGTAAAGCTGGTAGGTGTGTGGAGCATGGGTGGATATTTGTGTGGGGGTGGGAAGAGCGTTCTAAGGACCTATGGTATTCCTTGATGGAAATGGATAGGATAGTTATTAATTCCAGAAGAGGGCTTTACTGGGAGGATCTTTAAAATACAGTTTGGCCCTTAGGTCTTCCTTCTCCCCAAGTGGTTCTCTTCCAGGCAGTCTTTTGTGCCATGGACATTTTGTTTGCAGAGGAGCTGCAAAGCTGTGCCATTAGGAGCCACTGTTGTGAGAGTGCAGGTAACCCATGCAGGCATGCAGTCATGTACAGCTTTAGTTCATGTGCTGGTGTTTAACAGCTGTCTTACAATATGGAAATCCCATTTGCATTTCATACAGAAAGGGCTGCACCTGTTTTAGAAATTGCTGGGTTTCAACACACTGCTTGTTTCAATAAAGCAAATAATTTCAACAAAACAGATAGTTATCCTTTATTCCATAGTGCCATCACCTGAATGTAGTTCTCTCCTTAGTCTAAAGGTGAGGACATTAGTCCATGCCAACTCATGGCAGCTTGCAGTAAGAGCTGTTCAGTCAAAAAGTGTCTTTTGGACACTTAGGATATGTGCAAACAGAAGGATGTCAGTCTGCTTCTGTCCTTAGCTCTAGTCTGACCAGAAATAAGCTTCTGTCAGTCCTTTGTTTTGGTAAATGTGGAACTGAGTGTGCAAGTTCTTTAGCAACCCGGTTAGCATCTCTTTTGAAATGAGCTCTCCTTTTAACTGGTTCCCATTTTGTTTCAGTTAAGCTGTTGGCATATCTGAGATCTACATTTGTACTGTATTGGAAACCATGCACTGTGCATCATTTCAACTGGCAAACATTTGTCAAAATGACCTTTGAAGTCTTTCTTTCTGCATTATTTTCTTGTGCAGATTTATCTGGTTTTGGCTCCGCTGATTGCATATAAGAAAGATATTTATGAAACCATTGTGGCCTGATTTTTTTTTTTTAAAGACAAGTTATTTCAAAATATCTTTGCAGGCAGAAGTCTGCTGGCAAATACCAGCATATCTTGGATTGATATCAAGTTGTTCAAAGACAAAGCATATTTAAAAATAAATAAAGCCCCCTTGTAACTGTTATTTTGAGCATTCACATAATCTTAACTAATTCAGTATTTCACAGAATTTTTATTGTGAAAGAAAAATTTACTTCACTCTGGGTTAGTAGAAATTAAGAGGATTTTCACATGATTATTCAGCTCATTCTGCATTTGCCTTTTCCTTTGTGAATTAGAAAGCTGAAAAAAATCAAATCACATTTGGCTGTATTAGGAATTTTTGTCAAGAGTCTCAAAGCTTGGTAACTGCTATTGCAAAGAAAATACTTCCCTTTGTTTTGGAGTCTGTGGTGCCTGGTCTAATAAGGTAATTTAAAGCACAGCTACAGACCTAATTTACATTCTTTCAGGAACTCAAGTAGTATTTGTGTAGAAAGTTTGTGGGGGTAACACTTAAATAAAAATATTTTCCATATAGATTTGAAATACTCTTGCTATAAGTAAACTTATATTTTCAAAATCAAGAACTGAGGTGTTTTGGGGTACAGTTCTGAGGATCAAAAATCTCTCAGTGAAAAATAAAATAATGTATTTGGACATTTATCAATTGCTTGAAAGTTGAAAAACATGTCTAAGTGAACTATTTTCCTTGCAACAGTGTGTCCTGTATGATTTCAACTTGAAACATGAAACAACTGTCATTAATATTCACTTTGAGTAAAGAACAGCTTTAATAGTGTCTGTACTCATCCAACACTTCACTCCAAACGCTGTTCATCACACTGAACACTCGTTCTGTGCAACTGTTTGTTTGCAGCACAGGACAGATTCTCCCCGGTATAGCAATATGTCTTGGACAAACGTCTCGCAATTATTGAAAAAAATGATTGGTGAAAGGCAAAATGGGAATCTTCAGGGGTCTTGCAGAGAGTTCATGGGCCTCCAAAGGACCATATGGAAAATCTGACTACTCAAATACAGACAGGAAATATGACATGTAATAGAGGAAGTTTATAATAATTTTTTGTGCATGTTAAATGATAATGAAACAATCCAGTAAAAGAAGAAATAGCTGGTTTTTCTGATTTAATCATTACTAAATTAACCTGTCACATTGATATAACTGTTAAGAGTAGTTTTTATATGCTACACTTTACATTAGCAAATATTGTGTAGTAGGAGTGGATCTGTAGAGCAAAGCAGCCCAACTAGTGCTAAGGACCTGACATTCACACAGTGTCCATTTCTGCCTTCACTGGGGTTCTGGTTCTAGTCTGGTGTTGAATGCTGAATACCCATGACTAGCTGGAACTCTGCTTTGGTTTAATCCAGAAGGAATCCACCTCACACATGGTTTGTGGAGATGATTGAAAAAATTTCTTTAGTGCTATTTGGTAAATGACCTAAAAATAATCCAGAAAAAAGTATTATCAATGGAATGGTGAATTGTAGTGGTTTTGTATATGGTCTCCTTCACATAAAGGGCTGCAATCCATTTTGAGATATTGTTTACTTTGAGTGCCCACAACTTGGCCTTGAACGTTGTGTTGCTCCTAATTTCTTTGAGTAGTCCAGCTTTTGGGGATTTCTTCTGTATAATACTGCATGTTCCATGTTTCAGAATTGAAGGCATAGGTGGGACATAGACACAAATAGGGCAGTTGTGAAGTTTGTGTCATTTTGTTATCAGGTTATGTGTGATGTGTTTTTCCCAGCTATTTTACTTTACGCCTTCTTCCTGCGTGTACATGGGCAGAAGAAGGCAAAGGCTAGTACATGTTTTTCATAAATCATATGCAATATGGTCAGTTAATAAAATATGTGACATAAAGAATTCTTTAAAAGAATTCTATTGTCTGTCCCAGTCTATGTCTGGAGAGGGAGTGGTAGATAAGAGAACAGAGAACGAGTAGAAAAACACTGAATATAACAATATTTACAATGATAGAGTATAATTTCCCCTCTTTTGGGGATAAAGGCCTTGAAGCTCTGGATCTTAAAAGAAATAAAACCAGAACAGCTTTGTTTCAAGTTGTGATGGCTATAACATCACTCATCAGAAATGAAATGAAGAGCAAAGGCTGCTGGCTTGCTCTGGAATGCTCAGCAGTAGGAGTTCAGGGAGGGAATAGGAGATAACCAGGATAACCTTCATGGTGAAGATGGCACAGCCTGTCAGACCTCTCTTTAACTGATTGTTAACTGGATGCTTTGGGCCAGTACTGACAAGCAGTGACATCAGATGTTGTATTCAATTACAATGAATCAGAATAATACAAAAAAATAAATAAAATTTTTATTGGAAAAAATTATTCAGAATACACCTGAATTATTTGAGGATGAGGAGATAGTAAATCATTATAATTGAATTTCAAAATTGCAGATATCTCTTGCAGTGGGTATTGAGTTGTTTACCTTTGCCCCAAGAGTTAGGTATAAAAAGTACAGCAGGATACAGTAATGAAATGGCAGAACATCATTGGTGTTTAAATCCAGAAACACCCTTTGTAATACCTGTTATGCCTATTTATTTGAATTCTATAAGAATTCTATTTCACATGTTGAAAACCATATTGGTTCTTTTGTGTCAAGGACTGTTACTGGTCTTTTTCTGAATGTAGTTACTGTGCTAATAGGAGTTGGTTTTCGGTATAGTTTAACTGTAAGAAATATCAGTATGTCTGAATCTTGTTGGGTTTTTTGGCTGATTGCAAAAAATTTACAAATTTTGGAAAAATTTATTTGTAAATTTTCGCAGGCACATGCTCAGTTACCCCTTGGCCATTATGTCTGAATGTTATGACAGAAATTTTTAAGAAGAGGAATTTTAATATCAAAATGAAATTATATTAATTGTTGCAATCCAACTACTAGTGGGATGAGTCATGCTAGAGTGAGGCAATGTTTTCTGCAATAAAAAAGTATTTTTACTTCTTGTTCAAGTTAAATATCGCTAGATTTAGAAAGCACAGACACACCTTCTAATCTAGGGGTTTTTCATTCCTTTTAAAATGATCACACTGGTTTAGCTCAGTTTTCATGTTCCATTGAGGTCTGTATAAATAGCTTGCTTAAAATGTGAATGTAGCTTAGACTCAGAAATTCCTGCTGTGTGTGGCAAGCTATGAAAGGGGAAGAAAATTCTATAGCAACTGTTGTTAGAAGGACAGATATCATGTTTGGGCATAGATTGTTTGGTGTGAGTATTAGCTGTCTACTTTTCAGTACAGAGTCCCCACTGGGCTTAGATCGAACTTGTTTTGAAAGTACATTGTAGATCAATACAACAGGGGCCAGCTGATGGCTGAGCAGTTAAATATCAGTGCAGCATTCCTCCAAAACTCTGCTTCTAAAGGTAGTCAGCTGTATTTGCTGAAACAGGAATGGTATAAGCTTTATGTATGAAAACATTGAGAGCTAGGTTTGTTTATAGTAATTCAATAATTCACTTGTTGAATAGTGCTTCAAAAGGCTTTGTGTTTGCAAGGAATGATCTTGAAGATTTGGAAAACAATTTTGTTGGTGAGAACCTTGAACAAATAAAACAGCTAGGAGTTAATAGTGTTATTTAATGCAATTTCATTAAAGTTACCACAGATAGCCTGAGAAAGCTTCCATGTGGAATTTCTGCAGGTTTCAACAGATTTTCTCATTTTCGAGTGCTGAACAGGTAGGAGCTTTAAACCTACTCAAATTTTTAAATCAGTCTCACAGTCAGCAGGTTGAAATAATATGTATGACCTCTGGATGTGAACTCCTTATAGAATTAAATGAATTTTCAACAAAGAAATAGCTTTGGTTATTTTGTGTCTGAGCTGTACTGATAAGGGAACAGATGCACCAGTACATGCATTCTTACTAGGTATCTGAAACATTCAGTGACTACAGGAAAGTATTTGGGAAAATATTACAGCCATGCACTAAAAAGGAGCATTGAACTGTCATTTCCTGGTGTTCTCTTAGAAGGCTCCACCATGAGAAGTGCCGTCAGGAGAACTGGCTGGCTGCTCTCTCTTCCCTGGCTGGTGTGAAAGGGCAGAGCCAGCATGCCTGTTTTCTCTCCTGTAGGGAGATAACCTCTCCTTTTTCATCTATCCCAAGAGAACTGGGAGACTGGCACAGGGAACCATAGCTTAGCTTTTATTTTATTAAATAGTTTAATTTGAAAATATTTTCTCTCTTTATTCCTAAATTTAATGCTTCCTAGTATGTCATGAGCCATCATCTAGTCAGAGCTGCACTCCTACAAAGCCTCTGTATCCAGAAGTGCTTCCTTTGTGTAACAACAACAAATAATTAAATAAATATGATATATGTATGTGTGCGTGTGTATGTATATATAGGGAGTTCTTTTAATTTGCTGCCTTGAAATTTCTTGGAAGAGCAACAGAACTGAGAAGAGAGTCTGCCCTCAGGAGCACTATGTCTTATACTATGTCTTATGTGACTGTTCCATTTGTTTTGATGCACTTTGATTTGCTAAGTAGCTTGGGGTCATCTTCTTAAGACAAGAGTCTTTAGGAGCTCAAGAATAGCTAATGCAAAGTGGGTCAGGAAGGCAGTGCCATTTAAAGTACCACAAATATTTCAGGCTGTTTGGCAGATCCAGCATGCCCTGCATGTGTACAGTGTTCACCAGCTATTTTGGGATGAGTAGGGGGAATAACTTGAGTGCTTCTGGAGATTGGATGAACACAGTGCTGTGTGTTGTACTGAGCTGGGTTTGTGTTTCAGAGCACTGAGCTACCCTGGGACAGGGCAATGATTGTGCACATCTAAGTCTCTAGTTCTTCCAGTGAGAGATCTTTTCTAAAATCAGCTTCCATAAAGAAGTAAGGATGCAAGACTTGTTGTTGTACTTAAATACTTTGCTGGGTCAGAAAGAAAAGAAAGACTTGGAAGAAGGGAAGTTTTTGATAGTATAAGAATGGATTTTAAAATGACATCACAGTGGTTTTACTGCAACATTCCCTTGGGTCACACTTGTGCAATTTAAAAACAAGGTGTAAGGAGGAATTGAAAATAATTTACAACTGCTCCAGCAAACTCAGCTGAGTCTCGTGGAGAAAGTGCTTGGTGACACTCTGGAAGCAGCTCCCTGTAGTCAGCTGGAATGATGAAGTGCAGAAGTGCCATGTGGCGGAGTTAAACAGGGCTAGGAGCCCAAAGCTGGGGTGATCATGGCAATTAATGCATTCGTCTTTAAAGTGGCTGGAGCTGTTGTGAAGGTCAGTGTAGCAGCTGCCTTTGATCTTTCTTAGTGGTTGAGGTATCTTTTATGCTGTTGTGGGACTGCACTGGAGATGCAGCTTCTGGGTAGTAAAATTTCAAATGGTAGATTTGGGTGGGGCACGTTGTGGCATTCCAAGTCTTGTGTCTCAGATCTTTGGTAATTGTTGCTAGGTAATCATTTTGGTTTTGTAAATTTGGGTGAGAGGCCTTTCAGCTTTACAGTGAAATCTGATTGTGTACCTTCCTTGCCACGCAAACTTCATAATTACTTGTCCAGTTACGCCAAACAGCGTCAAGTATTTATCACAAAGTATGGGAAAGAATAAGAAAATTGGAGAAATGCTCCTCAGGAACATCCAGTGGTCTGTGGTCTGCATACTGAAGACAGCAAATTTTAAATGAAATTAGGGAATTTCATTTAAACAGAGGAAAGAATCTGATTGTTTATAAAGATTTTCATTAACATTTCTTTCTTTCAATGAGTGTTGTTTTCAGTTTTTTGCAACAAGCTCTGACTTTTCAATGAATACTTGTTTATCTTCTTTCATCATCCGAGGGTTCTTCACTTTTCCCATGTGGGAGAATAAGTTTTATTGTTTAAGTGTTAATGTTTAAACCTTTTTCATAAACATGTTTCAGTTTGTAGCCTTTGTTTTATGTAAAAATAAAATAGATGTGTGTTTCAATCATTTCCTGTTAAATCAGCAATGTATTTATCAATCTTCTCATGTCTTGGTAGAATAAATATAGAATTAATTTGGTGCAGACACATATTTTTGGACTGAATTACAGTATATATATCTATGCTCACCATCCTTACTTTTCCTCTTTCATTTTTAGGGAGAGCCTATAACTTTTTGTGAGAATAGTTTTGTGAAGCATCGTTCCAGTACAACTAAGCAGTTCCTGGAAACAGCTGTTAATCTTCAACTGTTTAAACAGGTATAAGAGGGCAAATGGCCCATATTTAAGGATTTTCTGTTAAAACAGATCCGTGTTTAAGTACATTTTCCTTTCTGTCAGCCTACAAAAGTCTGTGCTGAAATCTAAATACAAGTACTTTGGGTACAGTCATCCCAGATTTGTTGTATTTTTATGTCTGCAGTTATAGTTCAAAGGAGTGGTGGTGAAACTGAACAAAAAAATAACCCCAGGGTGCAGAGCCAGTGCAGCATCTCTGCAGAGCCAGTCAGCAACCCAACTAACAAGAAAAATCAGGGATCTCTCTGCTTGATGGTTGAACTTCATTTTCAGCTCTCTTGGCTCATGCCCAAAGAGCCTGAACAGCAGAGTGCTTAACTTAAATTGGAATTCACTGGTCTGTATTTAAAAACTGGATTCATCCTGCAACTGCAGTTTTGTTTTCTAGGCTTTTCGAAATATGCACACAGAGAATGTCACAAACCTGAGCTATAGGGGTGGTCTGAACAGTATTCTAGCTGATCTCTTAAAGCAGAATTTGAATTAATAGAGGACAAATTGTTGAATATCTGGGCACAGCTCAGTTATAGTTTGATTACAGTCTTTGAAATGGATTTTGTTCTTTGATTTTATTCTGTAACTCTTCTCTCTTTTCATCAGTTGACCCCATTGCATGAAAAGGGTGTTAAACTTATCACTAGACTTTTATGAAAATCAAGGAAAATGTGAATGAAATGAGAAGATTCATGAAAATATATATTTGCCTGCAAATGCCTGGAATGATTGATACATGAGAGTTCATGTTTAAATACTCAAGGGGACTTCTTTGAAGATAAACAACCATGATAGATTAGGGAAATCTATTATATGTAGAATCTTCTAATTTTTAAAAAGCATTTGGTGTTAATCAGAGGTTAGTGTCTATTGTAAAGATTTGGGTGAGGATGGTATTTTATACAAGCCCCCTGAAAACATGATCACAAAATGGGGCTCCTTCAGTTTTACTGTGGTTATATAAAATAAGCAATAAGAAATCTGAAACCTTTTGAAGTCTGGTTGATTGGATTGAAATGGGAAGAAGTAACTGATTGAAGTGTGGTTTACTCTGTGCAATAAGGTAGCATGAAATTTTCTTAATAAAAAGCTGCTTACAAGCAATGTTTCTAAAACATTATCACACTGGCAGTACTGAAACAAAACCTTTAGCTGCCATGAATGGGCTGGCTCTGTACTTACCCATTACACTTTAATGTGTTCAATTAAACAGAATCAGTTTACAATTTGTTTATAGCTTGTTTTAATTTTATTTCAATTGAAGGAAATAATAGAGGATTAAGAAATAGTAACAATTTTGATGATGTGTGTGGTTTAATAGTAGTAGTAGTTTTTTTTTATTCCTCTGGTTCTTGTTGCAAAGGTTACTCCTACTTATTCAGTTAATCCTCAGCCCAGCTGCATCTTCTCCAGTTTTTCCCACTGACAAATGAGCTGTTTTCAAAGTTGTTTGTATTCAAAGAGACCAAACTGTATTTTATTCTGCTCTGAAAGTCTTTTAAATAGAAAATAGTTCTTAGGGGCAGCCTTAAACTTAGACCAAGCAGAAAATTGGTACTTTAAATACACCCATTTTGCCATAATTGACAAGTGAGCTTTATTTGTGCTGTTCTATGAAATCCCTGCTTTGTCCCTTTAATTTGGTTATCATGGAAGGTAACTAACCTTTGTATCAAGCTGCAAACATAGTAATTAATAATGGCATCTAATATGTCAAATAGTTGTCATGAGTGTCCGGGGAAAATATTAATTCATTCTTAGAAATAGCCAGAAGCCTAATGCCAGATTATCTTCTTAAATAGTGTACTTATGTCAGCAAGGTAATCTGCAATGTTTATTGGGATTTTTTCCTAACATGTTATTAGAAAGTGTTACTTAGAAAAATAATTAATGAATGCAGAAATCAGAAGTCTTTGAAAATTGTTAGTAATTCAAATTTCATTTACCATCTTTATGAGCTGAGCTCTCTTCTTGTGAAATATAAACTGCTGTTTTGTGGAAATCACATTTATGATCTTTTCTTTGCTTCTAAGAACTGTTTGGTTTTAAAATTGATAAAATTACTTGGATACTCTGTATATATGTAGTCTCTCTTTTGGTTTGAGAACTCAAAATCAGTTGAGGATAATGTCTTTAGTCACCTTAAAATCCAAGGGTAACAAAATTGCTAGTTTTTCATTGAAAGAGGTAGTCATCCAAGAGTTCTTTGGACCTCAAAGTGAATATATTTCTTGGAAGAGCAGGCCCATATTTTTCAGTCTGTGGGTTTGAAAAATGGAAAGAGAAAACCCATAAATTTCATGTGTAATTCCACATGCTATTCTTTTCATGTAGCAGTTTAAGTGCAACCATTAACAGTAAATTACTCAAAAGTACCAACTACTACTACCACCACTAATAACACTTATCATTTCTTTTAAATAATGTCTCCAGTATATTTTTGCTAACAGTTCTCTTTGTCAGTATTTACATTAAATACTCAATTGGTGTGACCCTCTCATATTCAGTCAGTGTCTCAGCCTTCTGTTGATAGGATTTTACCAGATGATGAGTATGTCCATAAATCTTATGCTAGTTTATAGTATGGAATGAATTCATAACTTTCCCCAAAGAGATAATGTGGTACAGTTCAAAGGAAGGGATGGGAGTGGAGGTTGTTGGTTTTGGTTTTTTTTTTTTTTTTTTTGTTCCACAGCGGTAGCTAAAGGTGCTCTTATCTCATTTTCTTACTGTGAAATAATCCAGTGATCCCACAGTGGTCTGACCATGAACCAACCTATTTGGAAAAAGGCCAGCTTGGAGTAAAATGAAGAAATAAGAAGGAATTTAGACAAGGAAGAGAGAAATATCTTCATGCTTACCTTATTCTTGCTTCTGGAATTTTTGTACTTTGAGGAAGTTGTTTTTTCATGTCACTAGTCTGCTCATTGGCAGGCATCAGATTGTCACTGACATTGTTTGGATAATCAGTCATAAAAAATGATACAGCCCAATAATTAATTCTGGTTCATTCCTATGTACTGTTTAGTACCAGTGAATAACTCATAATTCTTGCTAGAAGATGTAGTGTGTAATTGGAAAATTGCTTTCTCACTTTATCTGTCAGACTTGAGTTAGCCTTTCCAAAACAAAAAGGGAGGGCTTGCTTCTTGAAAGAATTTTAAATCTATAGGAATGTGCTTGTTCTACTGCCTCGAAGCCTGATAATTCTTGAAAAGAATGTATTCATCCCTTCTGAGTGGCTTAATCGTTAATTTTCTAGTTTTGACTTTTTCTGACACACTTGGATCATTTCATCTATGTACATGCACTTATTTGTAGCTGCAATTTCATGTGGTCTTGCAGCTGAAACCTCTACATGAGGATAGCTGTTGGAATATGCATCTAAATAGATGCATAACCTAAATAAGGGTTAGTGCTTAAAAGGAGCCATGATTTCACAGCAGGACATCAAGGAATGGGTTGGTGACCTTTATATGGTTATGATGACAAATCCAGAGTTACTAGTAATTAAGGAAATAAATTATTTTCTTTCCATTAGAAAAATACAGAAAATAGAAATAATTTTCTTGATCTATACTCTATATTCCTGCTGCTCATAGTTACACCTGCTCTTGTGTAAAGATGTGAAGTCCATCTGAGAGCAGTGTATTATCCTTAAGACATAAATGGCCTTGATCATACAGATTCCATTGTAATGGACACATTTAAAATTCTAACACTGTGAAGCAACAGAAGAGACAAGAAAGTGTGTGTGACCCTTTGTTTTTCACCTCCAGTTTATTGATGGTCGGCTATCAAAATTAAATGCAGGAAGAGGATTCTCTGATGTTTTTGAAGAAGAAATCACAGCAGGAGGCTTTTGTGGAGGTACAGAATTAATTTGGGAGTACTCATTGACACTTCTTTGGGAACTGTTTGACATGATGTCCTCATGATGTTTTGTAAGTTTTAAACATCATTGATCTTTTTACTGTTCTGTTGTTTCCCTTCATTCTTGGAAAGGTTTTAGCCTTTAACAAATCACTGCTGGGATACACATTATTATGTATCTAGTTACACCAGTGTATTAAATATGTGATATTAGATATATGTGTAATATTAGATGTGTGCAATATTAGATATGTGTGTTTAATCCTGTAAAGTAATACTTCAGTGTAGGATGAGATATCACTATAGTGTTTACATTTTTAACTGTATATTTACATATATGATGCATTCTTTGTAAACTGTATTTTCAAAATAACTTTGACATTTGTGCTGCTTAACTTCTAGGTAATTATTTTTTCCATAAATGCTTCATTTTCTTTTCACATCTACTTATTCCTGCAGTGCGGAAATCACAGTGATGTCCTGAATGTTCAGGGAAATCTGCTTTCTCTAATGAACGTGTTACTCTAAAAAACGCAGAAGCTTTTCTACTTTTATATATGATCTGAGAAGGGACATGGAAATTTATCTTCTTTGTAAACAAAAATATTATTTCTTATGTTGTTTGCCTCAGTTGTGTTCACTAACAATTGTTACAACACTTTTCATATCAGCTAACCCATGTGGAGGAGTGCATTCTGAATCTAGGGCTGATTTTTACAGGTTTATGGAGTGATTTTCTGTTAAACATTTAGGACAGGTTTATTGTTATTTTGGGTATTGTCATGTTTTAAACCCAGCACCACACAGCTGCTCACTCTACTGTAGCCAAAACCAGCCCAGGTGTAAGAGATGGTTGCAAAAGATAGGATCAGTATATGCATGACTGTACAAATGCTATTTTATTGTTAGTCTTGAAAGTTGTGGAGAAGCTTCCTCAGTAGATGGAGGTTATGTGATTTGAGCAACTCCACTGAGGTGCAGATGGCAGCTTTGGATGGACTTCCTTTGCAAGACTGTCCTTGAATGGGACGCATTGAGGAGAGGATTTGGCCCCCACAGAGAAACTATCAAGTGCTGCAGAGCCATCTGCACCTCATGAAAAAATAACTTTTTTATTCTCCAAGTGCATAATTCCTTTTGTTCAAAATTTTTACTGCCTTCTTCTGCCTTCTGTGTCTTGTGCTAGGATCTAGCACATAATTTGGGGTTTTGTTCTTTGATCAAATTGTGCTAAGTTTTACAGAGATTTACTTCTTCCCTGCCATTTTAGGGTAAGTTACGCCGCTCTGCAAGCAGATTTGAGACTTTGAGCATCCATTATTCAGATAGGTGATGTCAGTATTCAGAGCTCGTTTGCTGACTGCAGTTAGGGGTCAGGAGGCTGCAATAAAACTGCAGTGGAAGTTAGATAAAGCTTGTTTCTTGGCTGTGCTCTGGCAGGCTGTGAACTGTGTCTCACCTGGCTCTGCTCAGGAGGGACCGCTCAGCTCTACTGGTGGCGCTGGGCTGCCTTGCACTGCCCGTGTGCTTTTCAAGTCAGACAAGCTGATAGTGCCAGGCTGTGGACAAATTGCTTAGGGCACATACTCAGTATTTACATAACTGCTGTCTCATTATTGTTATGAAGTGCAGGGCTAACAATATGTGTGCAATTGAAGGTGACATTTTGTGACGCTAATGGGGTAGAACTATGATCTCTTTGCGGACTTAACTCCCATCAGCTTCAGCAGGAAGCCCAGGGTTTGAAAAAAACAGGTGAAACCCAGATTTCAGAAAAGTCACAGAAAGTTACTGTTAGCTCCAAGCTGTTAAAAGGACAGGTGAACACATTCTTAGTGTAGACAGTATAATTTAAAAAGTACTGAATCAAATTCAAATAGAAAGTGTTTCTTTAAGTAATCTCTTTCTAAATTTGCATTTGTGCACATATACAAGTTTAACTAAACCAGAAAATTGAAGAATAAATCTTAAATTTCTTTTTTTTATGATTTTCCGTAAACAAACAATTAAAAAAGTGATCAAAACTTATTTCTGTGTCTACATCTGAAAATAAACTTGTGAGGCATCTTCATTACAGTTGCACTTTTTATAATTGAAATTTTATTTTATATTATTTTTTTTTTCTATATAAGTATAGTTCTCAAGAGCTTTTCAATACAAGAATATAGTGATGGATTGGTTTAGCACTCAGTTTTCTTGTAGAATATGTTAATTAATTTTTAATTACATTAATTTTACCACAGCAGCCTTTTTTTTTTATTGGTCTGATATCTAATAGAAGGAAAACTGAAAAAAATAAAAACATTTGAAACTCCCTTGTAATGGTAATTTGTTTTAAGAATTCAGATTTTTTTTTGCTAGGGTTTCAGGAGGTTCAGCTCTTGCTGAGGGAATGCAATGTTAGCATGGCTGTCTGTAGATAAGTATCTGTTTTTTGATTGTCATCCCTGAAGAGTCACTACATGACTAGATGAACATTAAACTTGGTCATTTGCTGTGATGCTATTTATTGTTTCTATTAATTGTTTAAGTCAGGTTGTGACAGAGAAAGATCAGCTGTGGAGAGAGTTAAGGACACCTCAAGACAGGTGATACGTGAACATTGTTGACAAGACTTGAAGTGACAAAATACCATGTTAAAGAAAGCATTTATGGTTAATGCAATATCATTAACACCCCAGCAGTGGTTGGATTTCACATTGTACATGTCATCTATGTGCTTCCTTCCCTGACAATTCTAGGGAACCACATCAAAGAAATGAAAAATTAGTTGTTTCTGCTTTAGGTTTGCTCTTTGCCATTCTTAATGGAATCAAAATGATCATGAGGGTCTCTACTCTCTAAGCAAGCAATGCTTTCATTTGTGCCATCATTCCTGAGAGTCTGGCTGTCTCAAAATTGCTTGTAAAAATTGAGTGGAATGGGTTGAAGTACCCATGATGAGCCTAAAGAACTCATGTTGCTTCACGTCATCTTGAAGACTGGGAATACCTTTTCCGATGATCCAGTTAGTTCTCTGAAATATTCTAGGAGTATGTTTTGGCTTTCATTAGCCATTGGAATAATTCTTGCCATGCATTAGTTAGTGGATTATGGGAACACTTGAGTTTTAAAAGCTGTTTAAAGTCTGTAAGGTTATATCAGTATGGTCCTTTCAACATGGCCAAACTGTTTGAAACTAGAGCGTTCTTGTCAAAGTGAATGTCGTGTATGGGGTCAGTAGCAGCTCTTAGTACTGGAGTATTCCAGTGACTGATGTATTCTAAAACTTTCTCAGGGATCATGGACCTAATCTTGTTGTTCAGCTGAAGCACCTCTGGGAAGCAGTATTGACTTCATCAAGTAGAATTTAAGGTGCTCCTCTGTGGCCAGTTTAGTCCTCAGTGGTCCCACACAAGTCAGTAGCTCTCACTTGCCTTTAGATGTTTTTTGTTCTGAAAGAAAGTAGATACAGTTAATAATTTAAAAGGATTTTTTCTCCACAAGAATGTATAGTTGTGACATAACCCTTTAACTTTTCTCATGTTCATACCTTGGCATGGTACCTTCTGGAGTCCATGTCATTTTTGTGTTTGAAAGTTTGCCCAGAGGGATCATTATGCTTGAATGCAATTAATAAATTATTCTCTACTTTGAGTTATGTTTTTCTTTTTATACTTTCTTAAAGCATGTTACCTTATCATCATTTTTGATTCCGCTTTTTACCTTAATTGGAATAAAAAACTGTGTGGTGAAAACAAGCTTTTATAAAGGAAATAGAAAACAAGCAATAAGAGATTCCTGAGTTTCTTTCTTAGTGTACACACACTCTTATCTTTACATTCCTTGTCTATCTGGAAAGAATTAATTGAATAAGTAATCCTCTAAGTACATTTTTTATTCTGATAGTGAAGAGGGTTGCAGCATTTAAAATGTTGAATGTATGTTTGATTGTGTTAATTTGACATTTCTCTTTCAGGAAATTCAAGATCTTATCAGCAGTGGATGCATACAGTGAAGGTATAAACTTGGTTAAGTCATTATATAGAGTGAAGTTATAAACTTGATTAAGTAATTATAATGGCCACCTTGTCCTTTAGGTCTCAGTCCTTTTCCCTACTTCCAGTAGGGAAAATGGTAAAAGTTTGTTCATTTGTGACAAAGATGTAAGTACATTCTGTAAGAAATACCAAGTCATAGTATTTGCAAAAATTGTTTGAGTTTTTATATAGAAGAATTTAAAAAAATTCCCATACACAAAACAAATGCCAAAATGCATGTTTTTTATGTCTGTATAGTCTAAGATTGCATTGCTTTCTGTATCATGCTGCATTCCATGACTCTGAATTAGGTGTGACAATTTGATAAGAAGCTTATCCCTTCTAGTAAATAGAAATTTTGTTAATATGGATTTGTGCCATTTGACTAGTACAGGACCCTTGGTATAACCTTGTTATTCTGCAGCATTAATAAAATACATTATTTTAGATTAAGAGAATTCTTGTTTGATTAAACGAGATAGTTCTTCTTGTCAGGTCAAAGTTTTTTTAGTTGCATAATAAATATGATAGGAACACATGAAAAATAGCCTAACATCTGAATTGATTTTGAAATGGTAACAGTGAATGAAGACTGAAAATCCATCATTCTGTTGGAGTGCCTTGATAAATGTGTCAGCTGTGGAATGACGTACTGTAACCCTTGTGTAGCTGCAGACAGCAGGCTGGGGAGGAAACACAGCTGTGCTTGCTCTTGCCCATTTCAAAGGAGGGTTGTTACTTCTTCACAGCACACAGTTTATTTTTCCTTGCTGTTGTCTTAAGGTTTGCCTTGTGTTAAAATATTACTAAAATACATTTTTTGTGTATTTCAGAAAGGCGGTGCACTGATCAACACAGCAATGACCAAAGCCACTCCGGCTGTGAAAACAGCATATAAATTTGTAAGATCATCTATTTCAAATAAATAATACATCAAAATACTGCAATTTCTGATAACCTCTCATTCTCTCTGAATGCTGAAAAACCTTAGCATTTTATATGTAAATTGCAAAGAAGTACTTCAGCCTGTAGAAAGTGTTGAGCTTCATTTGTTTTCTCATATAGCAGTAGGATTTAAAGTTATTTCAGGGTCTTCTAGATAGCTTGTACATAAAAATAGACTTTATCAAAGCATGAGTGTGCTGGTTTTCTTTCTGTCCTCATACACACTAGAAGCTTATTTGAATACATTTAGGTATTTGATACACAGCTGTAATTTCACTTTGGCAGTAAGTGCTGCACTATTAAGATGTGGTAAAGCATCAGTAATGTGTGCAGCAAATCATCTGCTCCTTTTTAAAAACGATAGTGGAATGCTCATGTTTAACTGGGTTTAATGCTTACACTTTTCATCTGAAAAAATCTCGTTTTTCAAAGACTGCCTACCCCATGATGCATATGAGATTATTCTGTATTATGCAGTATGGTAAAACAGCATTAGAAAAAAATGAACTGAGAAGTGTTTTAAAGTTGCTTTTATAATACAGAGGAAAAGATTTTTGGCTTCCTTTTTGCTTTTCCAAATGTTTCACTAGGTGGATGCATTATAAATAGTCCTGAATAAATCAGTAAATCAGTGTGTACTAGAGTATTTTAAGTAAAGTTTTCAAACAGAATTTTTAATTTTACATCACTTTAAAAACACAGCAGTCGTGGAAAGAAACAGGTAAATAAATTAAATATACTTCATATTCATGGACTCATTTATAATTTAAAAAATGGTTCATGTGCAAATTATTCTTCTTCATTTGCACTATCTTAGACTGTGGTTCAGCCTTCAATTTTGATAATTATGCCCTTGATAGTAAAGGTTCTTCAAAGTGAACTTCTGTATGTGCCAGGAAACTGCAGTAAACTTCTGAGGATCTTTATGTATATGATATCCATTTTTCTACCCCATTTAATTTCTTACATTGTTGTCCTTTATGGAGCCTACTACCAGAGGACTGAAATATGCATTTCCTAATTGCCACATAACTGATTGGGAACTTTGAGTAATGTCATTGGTACCATCCCTGAGAGTTAGAACAGAGCACTGCAAAATTCATCCAAATGCTGTGAGCAGGATCTGTAAAGTTTAAAGTGGCTTTCGGGTTAGCATCTGGTACATGGCACCCCATCGTGCTCTTACTGAGCTTATGGATGTATGATTTGAGGATCAAAAAGACTCTATGACCTCTTGATTCAAGAAATTTTTTTTCTGAATTTCCGTGTACAAAAAACTACAGGAAAATAGATGGCTTTTAGATATTTATGCCCTTGAATGTATTTTAAAACTCCTATTTTCAATACAACCTTGAAAACTTTTGCAGTTTTTTCCCATATTTTTTTTGGAAAGACACCTTTTTTTCTGTTAGGGTTTTTGATGTTATACCCTCATCCTTTATTTTGTTTCCTTCTCCCCCTTCTCTCACTCTCTCCCTCTTGTCTCATTTTTTTTTAGCCTAACAACATGGTATTCCATATTGATAATTCCTTTCTGTATTGAAGAATATTCTTGCTGTTTTCTATGCAACAATGATTCTTGTCTGTCTCTTTTAATGCATACAGAGTTCTCCCCTAAATAGCAGCACTGTGCTGTTCAGCAACACTGGGCAAAATCTCCATCTGCATATGAAATCACTTCATTTCTCTTAAGGTTGATGTTGCCCTGCAAGTTACCAGACTGGAACACTGTAGCAGTCATCTTAAAAATCTTCACATTTTTCAACATGCTTTATTGCTAAAATACCCTTTCAAATCGAAAGGAGCATTTCAAATAAAGGAGTTATATAGATGATCATTCTTAGCCTGTCCCTAGTAATAATGGAGAATTTTTGAGTATGTATGTTTTCCCATCACTGGCATGGATGTACTGAAAAAAAAATCCTTAAATTTGTGGGGAAAGCATGAATATAAAAAAATACAGTGGTAGTGCATGTTTGAAATTTGTGATAAAGATTATTTCCCTTTTCTATATCACCAGGTGTTTATAAAAAAGACAAAATAAGTATGGCATCATAAGGCATGTTCTGTGACTACAGCCAGTGTCCTGCAGAGCAATTTAAGTCTTTTTATTTCTCCAGGCAAAAAACCAGGCAAGGCAAGGAATAAAAGAAGTGAAGAGTAAGTTAAAACACAAGGTATGTAGGACACTTTATTTACTTTCTTAAACTGCTTCCTGTACAGTTTGAAGCTTATACTTTACAAATCACATGAGATTTGTGTTTTTAATGACTTTTGAAATATGCTTAGCCCTTTGTTCAACAATACATTTTTCATAACGAGCCCTCTGGCAACTATCTGTCATTCTATGCATCCACTGAATAATCTCTTTATTGTTTGCATATTTTATCATAGAACAACAGAGGTCTTCAAAGATACATTAAGAGGATGTATGTTTTCATAAAGTTGATTGCTTTGATATCACAATCAAAGCCTTTGCTTCAAGCTGAGAATTTGAGAAGGGAGAGTCTTGCAGTACACTGTATTTCAGGAGGTGCAGTTGTCCAGTTTTAGTTCCATAAGATACATGAACAATAGCAGTGTTTCAAGGTGAATGAATAGTTTCATTTTGCAAAAGCAACCTCACAAACTCAGAGTAGATGGTTTAGGCATTTTGCAGCTGCTTTTCCCATTTGGAATTTTGCTTCCATGTAAGATTTTTTTGTACAGAGAAGGAACCATTTTTTGATACTTATTGTGCTATTTTAAGAAAAATTTCAAAAGCATTTGAACAATTCAACTTTTAAATGACCATGCTGGTAAATCTGGCGTTTTGAAAAGATAAATTTGATTTTCTTACTACAGATGGTATTTTCATGACAGTAATGGATTGTGGCAAGATAATTTTGAATGCATTCTGCATGCATAATATGGAGGGGATGTTTGCAGATAATGATTATAAATAAAGGAATTTAAATCTGTTTTGTTGCATAGGAGAGTGAGGAAGAGTGTGGAACGTGTAGTGCTGGTGCAGTACAGACTGTTCCTGTCTACACATCGCATCCTGAGAAAAGAACAAGCTCAGAAAAACGAAGACTGGCACAGGTAAGACACCTGAAACTTCTGTTTGCATTCATATACATATAGGGAAAAATTTTTGCTGCTTAGAGTCGTGTGTCTGTGAATCTGTTTCCAAGATGATTTTCCTGTGTTTGGATAGTGTGACTAAAAGGCTATGTTTATAGAAGTACTGCTATGCTGTTTGTGTGGAGAAAAAAATGCTATTTGGGTTTCATCCCTGTTGAGAGGGGAAAGAACAAGAGATCTGTAAGTATGGATTTGAGATTTAATTCTTAAATACTGGTTTTGAGAAAGATTAATACATATCTATGAATAGACCAGAATGTATTTTTTGTGAGAAGCCCATCTCATTTATTTTAAGGCATATTAATTTTGTGTTTCTAATAAATTGTTTTGGCAGTCATATGGCCTTTAACCTTGCTCAGATAGTTGTGATTTATTATTTTCTTAAGTCAGCTAGTTCATGCAATGCTAATGTCTTGGCTTTTATTCTCTAATCCTTTCTAGTCTCGATTTGAAGTAACAGGTGTAGTGTCTCAACTTTGGCAAGTGTTTTAATGTTTTCAGATTCATTTTGGCAGTTTCATTTCAAAAATATAAACAAAGTAGGTTTTCTAACACTTTTTTTCCCTACAAATATTTACCTGCATATGTACTTATTTTTAGTATACAGGTATTTATTTTTACATTATATTGTTATTGCATGTTTTTAATACATGTGGATTTTTAATGCCTGTATCTTCCTAATGAGAATTAAGTATATAAATTCAGTCCAACCAATCTAGCAACATTTATTTTTTGCTCTAGGTATAATTATTTATTATAAAAATCTGGGTTTTCTATTTAATCAATTTGATTTTGAATTAGTTTTTATCAAAAGTTTCTGGAATGCAATTTAGAACTGGTGCAGATGATTGCTAAATGATGGTGAAATTGTACATTAGTATTAAGTCATTATTTTAAGTAAGGTTATAAATAATACAAAGACTTTCTGCTTCACTGATATGGTAGTGCTGCCTATTGTTATATACGGGAGTCTAGGGATACAAAGGAATATAATTCACCTTGGTACAATTAAAGATTTCTTTTGAAGGTGTGTGTTCAGACACAACAATTGAACTTTTCTGTGTTTTTGTGTTTGTCCAGCTGTACAGTGCTAAATCCTGTAATCATTGCAGTTTCTACCAGGTGTCCTTTAGCTTTGCAAACAAGGCAGGAGTGCAGATATGTGCCTGGCTTTGTTTCCATGCATCCATACATGTGTGTGTTAATGGATGGGTATGCACAGGACACACACGTGTTTCTGTGGGCTGAATTTACCAACAAAGCTGGGAACTGAGAGCCTCACAGGTTTGCCCTGCTCCAAACCAAAGGTGTCTTCTCCCCAGCTCTTGTCCCAAACATCACGTGAACTCAGTGGGCAGGAAGGGGCATGTGGGGATTGCCCTCCAAGAACTCCTTCACCTCTCACTCATTCAATTCTCCTTTTCCTCCTCCCCAAAAGCGAACAAACCAAAGGACTTCTGAAAAATAAGTCTGATGTTGCTACTCTTGTTTTTATTTTTGGTCATAGTGTTTGAATAAGATAACATAAATTCTTTATTAATGAGTGGTGATTTTAAAGTTTACATCCAAATAAGTATATATGTTAGTATTCACAGTGCACGTGTATGAGAGACCGTGTTTGATCTAGTACTGAATCTGCTGTTTAAAATAAGTGAAATTCAGTGTGCTGTTGTCAGATTTAATCCTTTTTCTGGTAGTCTTTATCCTGCAAACGAAACTCTTCACCGAGATCTCTAAAATTATCCTTACCAGTGGCTGTATCAGTATAAGGCTAGTGCTAGTGTGGAGTTCAGGCAATTTGATACACATTTAAAGTAAGGACTAGATAAACAATAAACAAGAGAGAGCAATTGCTTTTAATGATCATCTTGCTTCCAAAATAGAGGCACCTCTGTACGTTATTACTGTCTCTTCCATAATGAAACATTTAGAAAATTTTAAATACAAAGAATTTGGTGTCATATTTTATATCAGAAGTATGCATTGAGCTTTTCCTTCTCCACTTCTTGGAAACAGTTAAATTCTGAGATTTACCTGAGATGCTGTAAAACATACTTTGAAAAGTTATATTAGATATGAAAGTTTTCTTTACTGAGAAAGATAATTTTAAAAATTCATTCATAACAGGATTTGGGGGTCTGAGAGGACCTTTCCTTTACAATAGGAAGTGAGTCTGCTTTTACCCCAGCAAGCAGGAGTTTGTATATGGGTCTGCTAATTAGTATGGTTATTTCCTGTTTTGTTGATGAGGCTTTAATAAATGTCAAGGGTACAGCCATGAAGATCTCCCAATTAGGCTTTGCGTTTGTAAAACCCAGCCCCTTTGCTTTTGTGTGAGGATGACAGTTCCAACTGCAGCCTCAGCCTAACAGGGCTCAAGGGAAAGGATACTTCTCTGGTTTTATTGAAAACACAGCCAGTTTGGCCCAGGGAGAATACCAGCACTGGTCACAGTGCAGAGCCATTTTTAACAATGAATATTTACTAAGCTTTATCACTGCTGTCATAGTGACTTTATTGTATTTTTTCTTTTCCAGATTGGCAATAGGCTTAAGAAAAATCAGCAGTAAATTTTAAAAAAAATTATAGCATCTAAAATAGCTGTCAAAACCTAACCAGAGGATAAATAATTAAATGTGGTATTGCAAACTGAAGCGCTCGGCTTGCCCTACTATAATCTGCATTTTGAAAGTGTTTCCTAAAAGCTGGAGCTGAGGCGAGTGCACTGGCTGGTGCCCGCGTGCGTGCCCGTGTGCGCACAATTAATCCATGCCCAGACGAGCCGTTCCCTCTCTGCAGTGTTCATCTGAGCTTGCTCCTGCTCAGGTTCGCTGTTCTAGGCTCTTCAGACATGTGTGAGCTTAGCTATATTGGAAGTCAACATTAACAGATGGATTGCCCTAAGCAAGGGAAAACCACAACAACAAAATCTAGTGAAAGTGGAGATTGAAGCTTTTTATTGTTAAGCCTTGTTAAAACCTTGGCATGTGCACTGCTGTTAACTGTTTCATGCCTAGAGCTAATAATGTGTCTCGGATATGTTTCATCTCTTACATTAATTAGGAATGTAGAAGATACAAGAAATCACCAGCTAAAATTTTTGAAATAAAAGTTAATGCAAGCATGAGGTTGCTTAGGCTCTGTTTGCAGTATCTTGTGAGTGAAACCGCTGAGTTCCTTTAACTATTGATGAGCAAGGTAGAGCAGGGCATGTTTTAGACTACAGAGCATTCAGTGTTTGCATAATCTCTTAATTCTGTGCCATTTTATGCTCCCAGGTAATGCAGATTTCTGGTACACAGGGACCTAAATGCAGTAGGAGCTCTGTATAATTGTTCCAAATTAATATATAATTAAAAAGAGAGCATGTTTATTATGATCCTGTTTTGAATGCCAGGAAGATCTTGGTTTTTTTCATTAATATGATCTTTGTAATTTTACTATTATATCAGGTGTTGGGGTAGCTTATTAAAAATAGACCATGTCAGGATCTCAACAGTCATAATGTATTTCATGGCAAATAAAACACTCTGCAAGATTAGCAGAACACCAAATAAGAACTACCAGTTGCCTTTGCAGTTATTAAATTAGCAATGCCCCTTGTCTCTCAGAAAATGTATGTTCTACCTGTACCTTTAGGCACCTACTACTTTCCATCTGTAATAGAAATAGGCATGTGGATTCTAAGGGTGGATTTACCAATCACTGTGTCTCAGCACTGCTTTAAATGTTCCTATATTGACAATACCAAGTGAACTACTCACCATGACTTTGCAGAATCCAAATACAGTGTCTAAGAAGGTTTTTAAAACACTTTTAATAAAAATCAAGTTAGACAAAACTTTTTTCTTGGTGTTCTCAAAGAGAAGAGAGTTTTTTATATTTTTTTCTTTCTTTCCTTTTTTAAAGCGTATTGCAAATGGAGCTTTTTCACTTTTATTGAAGTATGTCCTAGAGACTATACAATATATAATTCAGCTTGCAGTAGGTGTGCTTGGCATCTGTTCAACAAACACAGTAAGTGTCAGGCAGGAAGATGTGTTCAGAATAACCTTACCTTCAGGAGTGCCCCATTTATCAATATCCCTACAATGGCCAGTAAAATAAACGACGTAATCATTAGCTACAAAGGACTTCTAGTAACTGATTACCCTCCTAACCTGAAAAAGGTGATGAGAGTGGCGATTCTGAAAAGAGGGCTATTCTGAAGAGTTTTTCTTTTTCCTGAAAGATAAGAGAGGAGATTGTGATAATGTAGTGCTGAATATACATATTCTGTATAAGATGACTGAATGTCTTTTAGAAAAATATCCACAGTCAGTCTCACAATGATTTCAGAAACTTAAATCTGATTAAGTACATTTACCTGTATTTGTATTCAGACAATGTGCTTGAGATCACATCTATGACTACCAACCACAAATAACACTGATTCTGTTGCTGGATTCTCATTGACTGCAATAGTATAAATTGAAAGATGTCATAAACAGTAAGAGCTAGTTTTTAATGTAAATCCCATTTTGCTTCTGTAAAATACAGTTTTGAACTAAGCATCAGTTGATCAGTAAATTCTGTTTCTTTAGCTAATGTGGTGTAATGTGAAAATATTGTAGACATCATTAGCTTCCTTTAATTTGGAGAAAAATCTTTTGTCTTATTGTGTCAAGTAAGATCTCTTCATTCTGCAAAACAGTCAGTTTTCCTTTTAATTAAAAATGAAAAAGCTAGGCTGCCAAAATTCAAATTGCAGATTACGAGAGTGCCCTCTTGTGGCTCCTGTTCCTTTCCAAAGTGGCAGAGCGCCGGGATCCTCTGCCTGTGCAATCCTTGCCTGCTGCAATGGAGACCTCTTAAAATCAAGGGGTCCTTCCTTTATTTCTGTTAAGTGAAATTACCCCTGGATTTTGTGCAAATTAAGCATTTACATGCTATTGTGTATCATGCATGATACTATTTTC